TGACAGTGAGAACAATTAATCAATGGAACAACTTGCCTCCAGAAGTTGTGAATGCTCCAACACTGGAAGTTTTTAAGAAACGGTTGGATAACCATTTGCCTGAAGTGGTACAGGGTTTCGTACAGGGGGGCTGGATAGAAGACCTCCAAGGTCCCTTTCAACTGTGTTATTCTATTCTATTCTGTTTTCTATTGTTCTACTCTACCCTACTCTACTCTATTTTTCCATTCCATTCTTTTCTTTTCTTTTCTTTCCCTACCTTGGCTAATCCTGCTTTGTGAACCCAGCAAAAAGGAAGGTGTGCATTGAAGGAGCAGTGACCCACCTACTCCAGATGGTTGTCGGCTGCCTTCCCTTGGCTTTTTTGAGCTACCTTAGAGTCTAATTTCTCCTTTCCTTTCCTTTTTTTGCAGTATCCGAAAGCCGAGGCGTTCTGGAAAGTGTCCAGAAATTCTCTTTGCTGCCAACGTACCTGCCGGTGAGTTATCACATCCACAACGCAGACATCTCCTTCTTCCTCAAAGAAGCCAACCAAGATATAATGAGGAACTCCAGCCTTCAATCCCGGGTAGAGTCCTTCCTCATCTACAAAGCCAAGAGGCCACCCACCTTAAATGCGACCTACGGACCTTTCTCCGTCGAGCAAGCAGTCCCTCAGGACCTGCTGTCCCCTGCCAACCTCTTCAGATCCTCCTCCGTGCCCAGGATATCATTCAACTGGAAGTTGAAGGCCTACATCTTGAACCACAAGGTTTACCCGAGCAGGCCCAAAGTCCAGGTTCTCTTCTATGTCGTCGGGAGGGATTGGGATGATTACAGTGTCTCGGAGCAGCTACCTTGCTTGAGGGTCTTTGCCTTCCGGGAGACGAGAGAAGTCCGGGCCACCTGCAGGCTGGCCGAAAGCCTGGGATTCTGCATGGCTGAATTGGACTTACTGCCCAGCTGGTTCAACCCTCCCACCATGGTGTCCGGCCGCAAGAAGTTCCTGAATCAGTCAGAAGGGAATCAAGTGGAATTATACTATGCCCTTCACGATGAGAATGGAGATTGTACCAAGGAGGACCTGAGAAGGAATAATGAAGTCAGAGCTGCACGTAATGACGTTGATGAATCGGGGCCGCCCCTGGAAAGGATTGGAAGTGTTTTTCTTTACCAGGCTCGAGGGAACCCCCCCTTAAGCGATCTGTGGCTGGATAGTAACGTCGTACTTCAGTACCTACCGAAGACCCTGAAGCAAGGAGAAGTATTGACTTTCGTGGTGTCCATGGCTAAAAACTCAACCCAGGACCAATTCACATTGAGGTAAAACAACATTTTTCAGATAAGAGGGTAGACCAGGGATTGGCAACCTGTGGCTCTGGAGCCGCATGTGGCTCTTTCATCCCTCTGCTATGGCTCTAGGTTGGCTCCTCAATTGATAGGGCTTTCAGTTAGGACAGGTAGAGGAAAAAGAACTATGTTAGGAGGAGACTCTATGGTGGGGGAACCGGACATCCGGTCAGCTCTAGAATTGAACATGAGGCTTTTGGTTAGGACCTTTGAGTGTTTAAGGTTGCCGACCCCTGGGGTAGACTGAAGAACCATTTCTCCAGGCTGGTGTAAGGACTCCTGCCTTGAGCTGGGGGTTAGACTAGAAGTGCTCCAAGATCCCAACCTGCCCTGTGATTCTATGATTCTGTGATTGAGTCTGTGATTCTATGGCTGATTCCATGATCATTCTCCAGGATGGTATACAACCTCCTGCCTTGAGCTGTGGGGGGGGGGGTTAGACTAGAAGACCTCGGAGGTCCCTTCCAGCCCTGTGATTCTATGATTCTACAATTGATGCTATGATAATTGCTTCTCACCCCCCACCCCAAGGTCTCTCCTGCAAATGTTAAAAGGACTTTGTGCTTCATGTTTTGGCTCGATGTGTTTTGCAAAAGTTCTATTTGGCCAAGCGGGTATAGTATAGTGGCATCTCTTTGGCATGTCACACAATATCGGACGTAATAACCACCATGCCATTGGATCTAGATTTGGATTGGATAGGATTGTCAATTTGCAATATTTAGATACTGGTGTGAGATGAGCATTCTGATCTCTTGGTATTTGTGCTAGAATATATTTAGGATGAAGTCCATAACTTGCTGTTAAGATCTGTATTTTGTAGGCAGGTGATTTCAAATTTGGTTTCAAGGAACTAATTTAAGTTCCTGCTGTCAGCCTCCAAAACTAAGAATGATACCTGGTGATTCTTTCAAGCTGACAGAATCTTGCCAAAGTAAAGCAGATTACTATTCACATGAAGTCTGTATTCTGGGAATTATTAAACTGTCTTTGCCCTCTTCCTCTCACACAAACTCTCTAAATGGAGTTCTCTCTTGCTCCTATACATGTTCATCCATGTTGTACGAATGTAATAGTAGTATTATCCTTCTCATCTTCTCTACTACCCATTTTATAGGTATCATTATTATAATTATTAGTACTTTGTTGCTTTGCATATACATCAAGAACTTATGCACTAGAGACAAATTCCTTGTGTGTCTGATCATGCTTGGCCAAATAAAGTATTCCTAGTCTAGTCTACTTTTACTCTACTCTACCCTGTTGTTTAATTTTGTTCATTACTTCTACTCTACTATTATAGTCTAGCCTAGTCTAGTCTACTTTTACTCTACTCTGTTTTCATTTTGATCTTTACTTCTACTCTACTATTATAGTTAGTCTAGTCTACTTTATTCTACTCTACTCTGTTGCTTCATTTTGTTCTTCATTTCTACTCTACTCTATTATTATAGTGTAGTCTAGTATACTTTTACTCTACTCTATTCTACTCTGTTGATTCATTTTGTTCTTTACTATTATAGTGTAATTTAGTCTACCTTTACTCTATTCTACTCTACTCTGTTGTTTCGTTTTGTTCTTTACTTCTACTCTACTCTACTATTATAGTCTAGTCATCTCATCTCATGTCATAATATTATATTTCCCATCTTTCCTGGGAATCTTCATTCCATTATATTTGTCATGCCAGGTGACAGGGGTTGCAGGACTTTAAGGGGCCCAGTATTGCTACCCTTAGCAAAGGGAGTGACATGTTAAACTGGACTGGCTATAGTGCATCTCAGCTCTGTGTTTTGCTATGTCGGCTTGGAACAAGGCATCTCTACGGGGTGAAATTTTCTCAGTGAGTTGGCCCATCTATAATTTCCATGCCTCGAATTCTTATAAAGTACCACAGGTGTCCAATTCTCCTTCCTCAATCTCTGCGTTTAAAGTGCAGAAGGGGTAGCCTTCTTTCATTCCAAGCACATACTCAGGCAGGCCTCTTTATATAGCTGCAATAGTGGTTAATTTTTACTGCCGGGTGCAGATGGTGCAGTGTTAGAGCCACCTTTCGGAAAGCACGTTGCGCTTGGCCCCTTGGGATCTAGTCAGAGTGCAGAATCGCTTTTTGAGAAATGGGAAGGAAGTGAGATAAAACCGACTTAATGTCATTTGCCTAGGATGAGTAGATGCCAAATGTTGGACTTTTTATTGTTGATTCTGGTTCTACGAGCACAGCTAATTAAGGGAAAGCCACGAAAGATAAAGTTTTTTGGGTTTGGCTGGCAAACAGTTAGGTTTCAGGACCCTGGACAGCTCCACGGAAGACAGCAGTTGTTGCCTTAGGACAGGTAAACGCAATTTCAGCTTTTTAAAAGGGTTCAGTGGGTGAACTTTGTTTTTTCAAATAACTTTATTACATTTTACAAAACAGACCCATTTAAAAAAAACTAACAATCGACAGAAATGATAAAGAGTAAAAAGAGAATCGGCACGGGAGGGTGAAAAAATATAAAGAAAAAGAAAGGAAAACACAAATATGTGCAAAAATAACTCCCGACTTTTTGAAGAACACCAAGAATGCTTACTTTTAATTTTTAGTTTAAGGCTTCATGTAGTCCTCAACTTACGACAGTTCATTTAGTGACCATTCAAAGTTACAACAACACTGAAAAAAGTGAGATGACTATTTTTCACACTTACACCACATGTGTAAGGTTTCCTAAAAATGCCCTAATTGATTCATGAATATCGAGTCAAGTTTCAATACAAAACTAGTCATGTATTAGGTGCATCATAGGCAAGAACTTTTCGCAGTCAAGTCTCTGCTTTGTTTGATTTACTTCTGAACTTTACCTCTGTTCCTTCCCTCCCCTCAGTCTGTGTCATAAATCACATTCCCCCATGACCGTGATGACGAGCCTATGGCACGTGTGCCACAGGTGGCATGCAAAGCCATTTGTCAGGGCACGCGAGGCGTTGCCCTGTCAGCTGGCCAGCATGCATGCGCGTACTGGCCAGCTGACTTCGGCCTATTGAGGCCAAATTTTGCCCTCCAGGGGCTTGAAGCCTCCGGAGAGTAAAAAAACAACCCTATAGGCAAACCGGAAGTTCAGGAATGTACTTCCGGGTTGCTCATAGAGTTGTTTTTTGCTCTCTGGAGCCTTCAGGGAAGCTCCGGAAGGCCCCTGAAGGCTCCGAAGGGCTAAAACCGGCCCTATGAGGGAACCGGAAGTCCGTTCCCAAACTTCTGTTTTGCCCATAGGGCCAGTTTTTTGTGTGCCAGAGGCTTCAGGGAAGCTCCTAATGCTTCTGGAGGGCCTCCCGGGGGGGTGGGGAGACTGTTTTTGCCATCCCCAGGCTCCTATAAAGCCTCTGGAGCCTGGGGAGGGTAAAAAAAGTATGCCAAAAATTGGGGGGGGGGAGCTCTGGTCATGCGTGCATGCGCTTTGGGGTCGTGCGCATAGACTGGGATCGTGTGGAACACCTACACATGACCCCCCTGTCACAAAAGGTTTGCCATCACTGCCCTATGAGATGCACTCCTCCCAAGCTGGCTGCAGTAATTTGAGATCCGACTTCAGTCTAAATGGAAAACACTCTCCTGCTTCTCTTACTATGACATCGCTGGGAGTTGACACCATGGTCACGAGATCAAAATTCAAATGCTTGGCAGTGAACTCATATTTATGATGGTTGCAGTGTCTCGGGATCATGTGATCCCTTTTCCGACCTCCTGACGAGCAAAGTCAATGGGGAAGCCAGATTCACTTAATGGCCACGTTGCCAACTTAACAACAGTGGTGAGAAAGGTTGTAAAATGGGGCAGAACAAATATCTCACTTAGCAACAGAAATTTTGGGCTCAATTGCCGTTGTAAGTCAAGGACTACCTGTAAAAAATCACCCACCCACGCTAGAAAAAGAGGGTTTTTTTAAAAAAA